GTTCTCCCACAGAGAATGTTAAATAGCCCTCTCCTGCGCCAATATTTTGTGTGGGCCATTGGAAATGACTCATAAGCAATTTCTTCAATCTATAGTTTACCATTACATGGACAACATCTTACTAGCTGATTCAAATGTAGATACTTTGGAAAGAATGTTTGAAAAGGTAAAGAAAACTTTATCATCTTGGGGATTATAAATTGCTCCTGCAAAAATACAAAGAGTAAATTCTATTAATTATTTAGGATATAAAGTAAGTCTACAAAAAATTAGACCCCAAAAGATGCAAATTAGGAGAGATCAACTGCAGACTCTTAATGACTTTCAAAGATTGCTAGGAAACATTTCCCATCTTCAGCCCACAATTGGAGTAGAATATCAAGAAATAACTAATGTATTCAAAACCTTAAATGTTGGCAAGGACTTAAATAGTTTAAGAGAATTATCAACTGAAGCTGAGAGAGAATTGCTTTGGTGGAAAGAAATTACAGGATGTGCACATGGATTGTTTGGATCCAGAGCTTGATTGCATTCTGGTTATTTTACCCGCTAAGCATTCTCCTACTGGAATATTAATACTGAGGGAAGATATTATCTTAGAATGGATCTTTTTACCACATAAACAGTGCAAAATTAAAAACTTCAATCTAGTTCTTCCCCATCTCAGTTTGTTCGTTTCAAGTTCTTACCTGTCTAGTTCTTCCATTCTCCTTTCTCTTCTCCATCCCTTGTGCTCTGGAAGTCCTGGTATATAAAGCCAGGCTTCCAGGGTCAAACGGAGGGGTGATAAGAATCACATTGAGAGGCAATAACTGTTAATTATTATTTGCAACCCCAAAGGGAAGTGACCAATGGGGAAATGAATTAACTAAAGGCTAAATTCGGGTAGTATCTAAGAAGAGGGAATCTTATGTGCTCAACTATTGTCTTAAATGTGATTAGTAGAAAATGTTAAGAATCTATAAGTTGCTAGGTCAATGGGAGAAAATAAAACTGTCTTTTTTCCTGTGGCTCCTATCTCTCCAAGCTATCTGCCATTTTTCTGCAGGGTGGGGGAAAGTATGCTCAGTCACTAGGAAACCTGTGTACAGACAGATGCCTCTGGTGATAGTTAAAGGGAGATCTGGAACTAGAAGTAAGATTTGGAAAAGGAGGAAGTTAGACTTAATTGGCACATCTGCCAGGCCTTCTCAAACAGGTAGTCTGGATGCTTAAGTCTGTTCTTAGAAAGTATGGAGGTATCTCTGATAAGGTACTTTCCTTCATCTGGGGATGGACCTGGCCGGATGCTGCCAATGATGATAATTACAGGGAGGCTTGAACTGGGGTTCTGGCTGAGCATAGCTGTCAGCACAGAAAGTTATCTAAATATTCCTAGAAGTGGTTAGGTAAGGAGTTAAAGGTCTGTAAAGTTAGTAAGGCTGTAAGAAAAGAGGGTCCGAGCTAAATTGTGTAAAGCTATTACTTAACGTCCACCTGACCTAGGCGGTTTCTCCTTGTGGAATTTGCCTTAAATCAGGAGACCTTCATGTGGACTGTTATTACTGCTAGTCCTTGAAAGTGGCTAAGGAAGATATCTGATTCCAGAAAAAGCCTTTCTTAAGGTGGTTCTCCAAATACCTGGAATGTGTATGTCCAGAGAGTGATCAGTCCACACTGTTAGCCCTTCTTAGGGAAAAGTCAATTGGGAAAACTATGAAGGCACACATGATTTTTTTTTTTTTTTTTTTTTTTTTAATTTTTTTCTTTTGGCTGGCCTCGAACTCAAGATCCTCCTGCCTCTGCCTCCTTCAGCAAATCCTACCGGTGCGCGCCACCACAACCGGCACACATGATTTTCATAACAGAAGACAGCTGATATATAACAAGCCAAATAACACCAAAAACTCCTTGGAATTTGGCTTCCTCTGGAGGAATTCCCTGATCCCTCCAGGTAGTGACTTTGCCATAACCAGCTGAGTACTTATGATATATTCCTGCAGCCTGCAGCACTTATATGGAATAGTCTTTCAGTTTATTCTAAAAGGAAAATTGAGACTTCATGAATCCAGTCACTGGGTGTTGAGTTAGTTTTACTGTTGGAGTGAATTTTTGCTTTTTTTCAGATTGTGACTACCCGGCTTCTTCTCTCTTGTAGGGAGAAGGTATTTAATTTCATTTTTTTTTTTTTACAATACCCATAGTTGAAAGACTTTTTAGTGTGTTTAAATTTGTAAAAGTTATGGAGTGTTTATCAAAGTTATTTATGTTTTTAATGTGAGTTCTTATAAACAAATAAAGGAATTGGCCAGGCAGTGGTGGCATGCACTTTTAATCTCAGCACTTGGGAGGCAGAGTCAGGTGGATCTCTGTGAGTTCAAGGCCAGCGTGGTCTACAGGACAGGCACCAAAACTACACAGAGAAAACCTATCTTGAAAAAACAAGAAGAAAGAAAGAAAGAAAGAAAGAAAGAAAGAAAGAAAGAAGGAAGGAAGGAAGGAAGGAAGGAAGGAAGGAAGGAAGGAAGGAAGGAAGGAAGGAAGGAAGGAAGAAAGGGTGTGACTTATTAGTTTGTGTGCAAAGTTGATAAGTAGTCAATTGTACTGGCTAATCTTATGTCAACTTCACACACAAACTAGAGTTATCTGAAAGAAGGGACACTCAATTGAGAAAATGCCTCCATAAGAACCAGCAGCAAGGCATTTTTTTCAGTGATTGATTGGAAAGGGTCCTAGGTTCTATAAGAAAGCAGGCTGAGCAAGCCAGTAATTAGCACCCCTCCATGGTGCACTTTGTGCACTTTGGCTATGTGCCCACTGCCTATGGGCAGCTATTCATGGCAAGTGTCTCAAAGCTTGGGTAACTCAACATCTAGTGGTCTTAAAATGCAACCCACTCTTCATTTTCACACATACAATGAACTATCACAGTCTCCTCACTGGGTCCCTGACTCTGCCAAACAAATGGCGCAAGAAAGCTGAACTGAGACAGAGGAAGAACCCATGACCTTTAAGTTTTCTATCTTTCTTCTTTCAAGAAAATGTGACACATAGGCAGTGGAAGTAGCAAAAGTGCACAATGTGTGAAAAGTTGCAGAGAGAAAGAGCCATTTAAGCCCTTTGAAAGTGAAGCCCAGGTGCCTGACACAGACCTGAAGAGTTTGGTGTTTGCCCTGCAGGTTTTCAGTCTTGCTGTGGTCCAATCTGTCCTTACCTCTTTGAAAAGAAAATGTTTATTCTGTAGATATGATTTGCTTTTTGATTTTCACAAGATGTCACAATCAAGAGACTGCCTTGAGTGTCAGAGGAAACTTTCTACATTCTAATTTTGTTGGGACTGGTACAGAATATGGGGGTCTTTGAGGTTAGAATAAATGCACTTTGCATTATGGGTTAAGTATGAGGCTGTCTTGTCCTATGTCAAAATGTGGTGGGTTGAATGAAAAATCTCCCAAGTACAAAGATGTATTGGAGACTTTGTCTCTGGTTTGTGGTTTTCATCGAGGTGCATATGGTACCTTTAGGATGAGGGTCTTTTCTAGAGTAGGTTAGTCTCTGGGGATGGGTGTTGAGCGTTTATACTCTAACCATACTTGTCTTGTTTCTGTGGTTGAAAGTTAGCAGCCCTCTTCCTTCTCATGCATGGACACTGTTGCCATTATAACAGGACCCATCCCTAATAACCTAAAGTAAATAGAAGCAATTGCATTTCCTTTCTAAACCACTATTCTGGCGTGATATTTTTATTTCTATATTTTTGGCTGATGGAATTAGGTTTTATACATGTGAAGCATTTGCTTTTGTGCTGAGCTTTACCCACTTCTTTACTTTTTAACTTTGGCAGAAAGTATCATTTTTTTCCCACCAAGATGGCATACATTCATGACATTAATACTGATCTTCTGAATGATTGCATTGCAGGTGTGTAACATTCTCTATATCTTTATGCATGCTTTAATTTGGTTTCTTTTTTGAAATGTATGCATGAATCTTTTGCCTATTTATATATGCATGTGTACTGTGTGTGTGCCTGGTGTTCACTGAAGTCTAAAGAGAGCACTGAATTCTCTTGAACTGGAGTTACAAATTGTTAGGATGTCCAAGTGAGTGCTGGGGATTGATGCAGGTCCTCTGCAAAAGCAATAAGTGATCTTAACTGTTGATCCATCTTTATACTCAACTGGGTTTGTTTGTTTGTTTTTATTTTTTAGCATCAGCTTTACTTCACTGTTTTTGAGAACCCTTTTAATCTGTCAGTCAGTAACTTATTAAAAATGCATTCCTTCGGGGCTGGAGAGATGGCTCAGAGGTTAAGAACACTGGCTGTTCTTCCAGAGGTCCTAAGTTCAATTCCCAGCAACCACATGGTGGCTCACAACCATCTACAATGAGATCTGGTGCCCTCTTCTGGCCTGCAGGCCGAACACTCACTGTATACATGATAAATAAATAAAAAAAAAGAAAGAAAAAAAATGCATTCCTTCATATGAACATTATGAAGCCTTAGAGTTTAAATGAGGTACTCCAATTTTCTGAAAGGAAAGTACGTTTCTGGAGGGAATGTACAAATCATTGGTGGAGTTTAGACTGAGCCCCTGTGTGCTCTCAATTTTTTTTCTTTGTTTGAAGCAGTGTCTTAGTATGTGACTTGGCTGTCCTTTAAAACTCTACATAGACTCAGCCAGCTGAAAATCAGAGATTTGCCTGTCTTATTCTCCTGAGTTTGGGGATTAAAGATGTGCATCACCATGTCTATATTGTCTATCCTTCTTTGATGGCAGTAATTTTGATGCAATTTTTCTGATGTTTACTCAATACTTTGGCTCTGTTTGCATGTTTCTTTCTATTTGTAATTCAACATTTCTCTTGCAATGCCATATACTATTGAGAGAGTCCAGAAATGAGACTCATATCCTTCTAAAATGACTTGGTGATTGCACTTGAAATTCTATGATATGAAATAAATTGGTTGAGTGTGCAGAATTATGTAAACATATGCTCAATGAAGTGTACATTTACAATGCATTCAGTCTCACCATCTTTATCACATATTTGTATGGTAAATTTTAGGATGCAGTGACCTATGGGGATGTGCAAGTGAACTTCAATGAGGAAGAGTGGGCTTTGCTGGATCCTTCCCAGAAGAGTCTTTACAAAGATGTGATGTTGGAAACCTATGAGAACCTCACTGCTATAGGTATGAATGTAAGTTTTCCTTCACTTTATAGCTTAAGGGGATAAGTCTTTCTTGGAGATTAGTGTTCTGTTGTGATTTTGACTATGAAAGAGGAATAATGTTGTGAATCAGGCATGGTTCTACGGTTCACTGAAGATAATTCAAATCTTGCATAATTCTCAATAATATATAATATATTTCTGATGCTATATTTTAGGCTACAAATGGGAAGACCAGAATATTGAAGATCATTGTCAAAGTTCTAGAAGACATGGAAGGTAATTTTCTTGTGCAAGGTGATGTTTGTGCCTCTGAACAAATTTCAATATGTCCTGCTATTTAATGAAAACTAACAGTGTAAATTACACAGCCTTGTGATGAATATTAAATTCTTACAACATCAAATACCTCAATTTCAGTTAGCTGATGTGTGTTTGCATGCTGTTCCTCTAAGAAACAAGACAAGGAAACAATGCCTTAACAGATGTCACCATATTAATCATAGCTCCCTGAGATCCATGTTGTTGAGTAGCACTATCCATCCATTTAGTTGTATTCCATTCAAGTATTGTAAAGACATTCACATTGATTATGGGATTAGGGTATGTTCAAGTCTTTCTATAAGCAAATTTTCCTTTAATTAAGCTAATGTTACTCATATACTTGAATAGACTTACCATAATTTAGTGATAGGAGCAGTTTATGAGACTTAAGAATGTTGTTGTGATGGAGAAATCTTAATGCCTATACCACATCTTTATGAGGAACAAAAAGTTAAACTATGTGAATGCAACGGGAAAACATTTTGTTTGTTATTCTTCCTTTAATAGGTACATCATTTGTCACCCTGGATACAAGCCATGTGAGCATAATAGATATGGAAAGAAGCACTGTACCTCTGTCTCTCCTGGAAAAAACTATGCAGTAGTTTCCACAATGGGAAGACATGGTGATGATGATACAAGTGTAGAATTACTTGGATTTCACACTTCAGTGGAAATACATCAACACACTTACACCGGAGAAAAGCCATATGAATTTAAGAAATATGAAAATTCTTCTGTCTGTCCTGGTTCACATTGCACATATAATGTGACTCATGTTATAGGAAAATATTATGAATGCCACCAGTGTGGCAAGGCTCTGAGTTCTTCCAGTTCTCTTCAAAGAGATAAAAAAACTCATGTGGGAAAAGGATTCTATAAATGTGAGCCATGTCCTAAAGGTTTTAACCATCATAGGTATCTTCAAACACACAAAAGAACCCATAATGAAGAGGAATCCTATGAATGTGAACAAGATGATAAAACATTTAGAGCCGATTCCTCTTTGCAATTATACCAAAGAACTCCTTTAAAAATAAAACCTTATGAATATAATCCAGGTGGTAAAGATTTTGCATGTCACAGTTATCTTCAAGTACCTAGAACTCATACTAGAAAGAAACAGTATAAATGTCAGCAATGTGGAAAAGCCTTTGCATGTCCCAGTTATATTCAAATACATGAAAGAATTCACACTGGAGATAAACCCTATGAATGTAAACAATGTGGAAAAACCTTTGCATGTCCCAGTTATCTTCAAATACATGAAAGAAGACATACTGGAGAGAAACCCTATGAATGTAATCAATGTGGTAAAAGCTTTGCAAGTACTGGTGATCTTCAAAGACATGGAAGAAGTCATACTGGGGAGAGACCCTATGTATGTAATCAATGTGGTAAAGCCTTTTCAGATCCCAGTAATTTTAAACAACATGAAAGAATTCATACTGGAGAGAAACCCTATGAATGTAATCAATGTGGTAAAGCCTTTGCAAGTAATGGTGATCTTCAAAGGCATGAAAGAAGTCATACTGGAGAGAAACCCTATGTATGTAGTCAGTGTGGTAAAGCTTTTGCACGTAACAGTCATCTTCAAAGGCATGAAAGAAGTCATACAGGAGAGAAACCCTATGAATGTAGTCAATGTGGTAAAGCCTTTTCATATCGCATTAATCTTCAAAGACATGAACGAAGTCATACTGGAGAAAAACCCTATTTATGTAACCATTGTGGCAAATCCTTTTCATCTGGTAGTGCTCTTCAAATGCATAAAAGAACACATACTGGAGAGAAACCCTATGTATGTAATCAGTGTGGTAAAGCCTTTTCATGTTGCAGTTATCTTCAAATGCATGAAAGAAATCATACTGGAGAGAAACCCTATGAATGTAATCAATGTGGTATAGCTTTTTCATCTCGCAGTAATCTTCAAAGGCATGAAAGAAGTCATACTGGAGAGAAACCTTATGAGTGTAGTCAATGTGGTAAAGCATTTGCACATAAATATCATCTTCACAGTCATGAACGAGGTCATACTGGAGAGAAACCTTACGAATGTAATCAGTGTGGTAAAGCTTTTGCACGTAACAGTCATTTACAAAATCATGAAAGAATACATATTAGAGACAAAACCAGTCAATGTAATAAATGAGGCAAAGCTTTGAACACCAGGCAAAGACTCCATTTTGGAGATGCCAGTACCATGAGATGCCCACCAAGACCATCAGCAGTGTTGAACTGGAACCATTCAGAGCCTAGAAGAGAACTTGTGTGTGCTGCAGATGGCATAGCCAGAGAAGTGACCCAAGCAAGTCTTTTGTAGTAGCTCTGAAGACTGTCACTGGGTGTTGAGTTAGTTTTACTGTTGGAGTGAGGTTTTGCCTTTTTTCAGATTGTGACTGCCCTGCTTCTCTCTTGCAGAAAGAAGGTATTTGATTTCAATTTTTTTTACAACAGCCATAATTGAAAGACTTTAATGTGTTTGAATTTGTAAAAATTGTAGAGTGTTTATTAAAGTTATTTATGTTTTTAATGTGAGTTCTTATAAACAAATAAGAAAGGAGTGGTTGTGACTTAATAGTTTGTATGCCAAGTTGGTAAGTAGTCAATTGTACTGGCTAATCTTATGTCAACTTACACACAAACTAGAGTTATATGAAAGAAGGGAAACTCAATTGAGAAAATGCCTCCATAAAATCCAACTACAAGACATTTTTTTAAGTGATTGATTGGGAAGGGACCTAGGTTCTATAAGAAAGCAGGCTGAGCAAGCCAATAATTAGCACCCCTTCATGGCATCTGCATCAGCTTCTGCCTCACAGTTCCTGCCCCATTAGGTTTCTGTCCTTACTTCCTTTAATGATGAACAGAAATAAAGGTTTTCCTCCCCAGCTTGCTTTTTGGTCATGATGTTTCACTGCTGAAATGCTAAGACATTCTGTCTCAAAACATTCAATAAAAGGGAATGTGGACAGATGGCTCAGAAATTAAAAACACTGGCTATTCTTCCAGCAGACACTGTTTCAATTCCCAGAACCAACATGGAAATTCACAACTGTCTGTAAGTCCTGTTCCATGATATCCAACACCCTCACACAAACATACATACAAACAAAGCATATATGCATGTAAAATAAAAATGAATTAATTATAAAAAAGAATATATCACATTATAGAACTTTCCCTAACAATCTGAATTCATCTCTACTCAACTAAATCTTTTGTTATCTTTATTTACATCAAGAGAACTGTGTTAACAATTGCAATAAGAAGCAATGTTCAGAGTCCATTCAAAGAGGAATAGAAATCCATTCAATCCTTCAATGACCAAATATCATGGAATTTCATCACCTCCAAGTGATAGAAGACAGAAAGAGTAATGGCACATCTTCATTGGGGATTTGACTCAATTGTACTGCTACTGTTGGGTACCCAAGTTTTGTTCCTAGCATCCACATCAGACAGCTCAAAACTACTTACAAAGCCTTGTCCTGGATATCTGTTACACTTCTGGCTTCTCTGGGCACCAGATATGCAAAAGGTGTGTGTGTGTGTGTGTGTGTGTGTATGTGTGTGTGTGTGTGTGTGTGTGTGTGTGT